CATACATACATAAACTTTATTTAAGCTCGAATTTCAGAGTAGCTTGACCAGCTAATATTTCCGAGCAACAAAATATTTGATAACGAAAAATTAAAATAGGAAGCGATATGCGATATGCTGCTGTTCTGGTGTTCCTGGTTTAAGTACAGGTTCATTAAACTTGATTTGGTCAGAGTAGGAAAATTTTGCTTTCAATTTAGTCGTGTACTTGGTAGCGTAGTTGATTGCGTCATGTCAACCCAGCACGCGCGTGGCGCTTAAACCATGCCTTGCCTGATGCGCAGAACGTGTGCGCACTAACAAAAGTAGGCACCGTCCTTAAATACCACCCCGGGTTATGGATGCTCTTGAACCATATGCTCCAAACTGCCAAGACAGTTTCAAAATGGTGGCCTCCGATTCTTCAGGACAGCGGGCACTTCTGAGGCTGAAACTTCGGTGAGTGAAAAAGTTGAATGTTTACTTGCTATAGGCGAAGACAAAACGAGTAAGCTTTTTGGAGTGACGTTCTCCTGTAATCAAAGCCAAATCGTTAAAATTGTGACCGTTTGGGAATATTTTTTTCCACATTTTCAACGAGCATCAAAGGCACTTCCACTTAAATCTTCCTCCACTGCTGCTACCGCTGCTGTTGTTGTTGTATTCTTTTCCAGGTCAAACGAAACCATTGTGAAAACGTATTTCAGTCGCTGCGAAATATCAACGAGGACACAAGACAACTGTATCGATGACTGAATCACCAGAAAACCTTACAATTTTCAGGTCTGCTTTACTTCTAAATTTATTTCAATGCTATCAAAGGTGACATCAATGTTAAAAAATATTTCTACCGTGCTGGATAAAAAAGTAAGAAACAGGAAAAAATCACTGAAAACGTAATTTGTATATAAAACAAAATGATAACTCATGCAGCCTAGACTAAGAAAAGTATGCACACGCACGAATGACAGTGAATCCATCAACGTAGGTTTTTTTTTTTAATTGCGCCTTTCAATAACATGCGGACTCAGTCTAAAATTCAGAGCTCAACCAACAAATGCGTTTTTCGCTACTGTCAATCAAATGTTCGGCAGCTCCTCTCAGCTTCCGACCACTGCCGAGCGCGGCGTAATCAAATCGTTGAGCACAGTCCAGACAACGAAACAGTGCTCGGCAGTAGTCTGAAGCTGGGAGGAGCCGCCGAACATTTGATTGACGGTAGCGAAAAGCGCATTCGTCGGTTGAGCTTTGAATTTTAGATTGAGTCCGCATGTTATTGAAAGGCGCAGTAAAATGGGTGCGTATCAATGATATCCAGGATTATGCATTATCGGGCTTAAGCAGCAAACATGAAGACAAGAACAACGAACAAGCTTGTAAAGATCATCCAGTCAGTTTTAGGCTTCCAGGCCCCGCTGTCTACCGGCTTACCTAGAGGTAAAGGATAGCAAGGGACATTAACACTACACTGAACACTCTCTTCAACACAAACAATTACAACAACGACGACGAAGAAAATGAAAATAAAAAGAAAACATAGATGAAAATGAAAAGAAAACAGCGATGAAAAAAACTAATTTGAAATTATCTCGCAAAACCCCAAGCTGGTTTAGTCCTCCAATATTAATGCGTCTGAGAAAATATTTTAAACAACGTGGTTAAATTAAACAAACTGGCAAAAACTGGTTTCTAGCAGGATAGACTTACTGGTTGGCGTCATAACAGAGAATAGAGTCTGCATTCCACCCGTCAAGTGGTTGTTCACGTGACAGTGTAATAACCAGTCTCCCACGCTGTCAGGTACCATTTCCACGGTTGCATAGATTCCTGGGAAAATGTCGTAGACATCGCCTCGATGAAGTGTGTTAGATTTCTGCGATAGAAAGAATATTATAAATATTTCAGATACAGTGTGTTTATAACCTAAAAATAATAAAATGATGTTTCTGAAAAGTGCATACAGTATTTATAGGTCACAAAACATCCTTTAAAGTTTGAAATAATTACAAATAGTAGATCATTTCAGCAGTAAGAGAAGATTAAAACAAACGGTAAACTGTAGAAGATGATTAAATCATATAGTAAACTACAGTACTATTATAATGCCAGTGCGATATTGTGAGTGTAACCATTGATGATATGACTCTTACGTAAACAAATGACTGTCCATGGAAGTGTACGGTGTGGACATCAGTCAGATCTCCAAGTCCCATTAGGTACCACTCCACTTTCTCTCCACTGTACATTTTCAAGCCGGGTAAGTTTCCATAAATAAATCCGTTGATAGCATAGTTCTGGTTGCTCTCCTTGAATCCGACATCGTTTTTAAGCTGGTCTATGGGGCCTGGGTCAGAGCAGTATTTATTTATGTTGTCGTCAATATACCAGCTTCTATTCTCGTCGAATGTGGAGAAAAGTAAAAGAATTCGCGATCCACGCCGCGTCGAGAATTATCCTCGTTTAGTATTCCCTTTTGAATAAAGAAAGTTAAACATTAATACATCCGTGACTTAAATAGTGCACAGACGTGATTTGCGCTAAAACTGAGTAACAGGACTGATAATGTTTTGTCATCTAACTGTCATTCTGAATGCAGCTGATGGAACATTATTGTGCTGAAAACCATGCAGATATAAATTTTGGTAATTGATTCATTTACACAATTAACATCAAATAACAGTCTTTCTTTACTAGTAGATCTTACTTTCCAATCCCTCCACTTATAACAAACAGACCTATCAGTCTTATAACAAAAAACTTATTTCAGTGATAATTTCTTTATTTCTTATTTTCCCTGCGTTAGCATTGCCAACAAAACAGACAATTTATATCCCTCTCTTAAAAGTACATACCTTTCTACAAACAACAAGAGGTCCCACAAGGCCTGTGTAGAAATCTCTGACAGAGGCTGAGTCGGAGTAATATGCCCAGGCCACACAGTCGTCATCATTCTCTGTAGGTCCAGCGCGCTGTGGCACCTGCCAGACGTACTTAAACACTTTCCCTGGAGCTACAGCATTGTCTACTATGTCAATAGCACTTGTTCCATCGCGATAATTTGAACCTTCATACTTTTTCCTGTCACAAAAGCAATGAACACAAATGCATACGTTTACGTTTGTTATGGAAACAAATAATCTCGATTTATTAAATGACATCATCAACAAACGTTGGCGGGAAATCCGGGATGATGTCGAAACTGAGTTAATCCTTTCAGGTCTTTCAAGTCACAGCTGGTTTCACTTTGGTTGAATAAAAAGCTACGCTCTATATTGCCAGCTGCGCTACTGGCACTAACCCTTTCAAGAGGATCGGGTACAGAATCTTTCACAATAATATTAAGATCAATCAGTTAATTCAACCAAAGTTATATATCCTTCTGTTAATATATATTTACGCAATATCATAAGAAGATTATATCACTATAGACTATATTCTTATTCTACAACACTGAATTTGAAGATTTGTGCTTTCAAAATGAACAATAAATCTGATAGCTAATAAAATGAAAAGTAGAATTCCCCTTACTTGTAAAACAAGCCATCCGAGTGTACAGAGTATTCTCTACTCGCCATGTTTTTGAATAACACTTCAACAGAATCTCCCACCTCAGCTTTTATAACCGGTCCCATAATTCCAAGATGTTTTTCATAATCAGTTTTTCTTTCTTTCTTCGTTGTAAAAGTGGCATCAGTAAATTCCTGGAACATGGCCTTCTTGTATTTATGACCAATGCGTTTTGGGCCGTTGGTTGTATATGGTCTGGCCTCTCTGAAAAAAAGAAAATCAAATACAGATATATTAAACGAATGAACGAAAGAACGACAGACTGACGGACTGATGAATAAATAGATTAAAATTACAGTTCCCTTGTTCATCTCCTTGTAAAAGCAGACTTTGTTTACATTTTGGAAACTTTTGATTTTTGTGCTAAAAAGACTTGTATTACACGTTATTACTGTGACTGTCAACCGGGATACATTTATGCCATGCCTTACATACTGCATTTAACGATAAAGTAAAAGAGTCTGCATACGAGCCAAGTAGCCCATCAGGCCGCAGGTAATCGCCGTTTCTGTAGCATGAAGCAACTAAGAGTATTTCTACTCCCATCCTGGATGAGTCCATCGCGGGGTGGCCCTCCCAGCATTTAATTCGCCGGTATCCATTCATACACCTGGGTGGCGAGAGGCACTGTGAGAGTAAAGTGTCTTGCCCAAAAATACGGCGCCGGGCTCGAAACCGGACCGCTCGATCCGGAGACAAGCGCACTAACCATGAGGCCATTGCGCCTCCAATGTTCAGTGAAAAAAGACGTGGAAAAGCTGAGTAATGAGTTTTCATAGCCACAGTTTAGCAGCAAAGTTATTTTGGTTTGGCCCTGAGTGAAAAACTGTCCATGTCATCACGATAAGTCATAGTACCGCTCCGATGTCAAATGTACGCATAAGGAGCTTGGTTGCCCTACAAGGCTATTTAAGGTAGACTCACTCGCTATCCTCCAGGGGTTTTCCTTCCAAGATATCACGGCCAGATGGTGAATAGTCCCAGGTCTCCTCCACAGCAGCGATGTAGTAACGTCTGACCTTGTCACCAGTACTCTGCTCTGGGGAAGTTTTCCCACAATTCTCTCGCACTGTGTACTTGGTTTCCATGCCCAGAGTCAAGTGACTAGTTGTTTTACAAATTATTGCCCATTCCCCCGGGTTATCTGGCGTCATGTATACCGTTCCAAAAGAGCCTGCGGGTAATCGTGATTAAAGATAAGTATCTCGGTAAATTCGAGTTAAAAACTAAAAAAGTATAGCGAGGAAACACTAGATAGTGACTATTAAAAATATTTCTGATGGTTGCAAACTTTCTGCGACGTCGAGGACAACGTCGTTTAAAAAAATGATTTCATATTTTACCTACGAATCTCGCGGTTTTCTAAAGTCGTTTAGTTTGCTTATCACTGTCAAAACTATTTCTCTCATTCTCCAGACAACTCAAAATTTGGTCATTTCTCGTTGTTCAGTGTTTTGGAGAGGACGGCAAAGAAATGTACCAAGAATTATTATGCATGTGCACAGCCATTGTTTTGCTCATTAAACCATTTGTTTAGCGACGTTCCCGTTGCCGTCGTGGTTCTCTTAAACTCCCTATTAGAGCATTCTAAGAAGCGGTTGTAAAATGTATGTAAATATGTAAAAATGTAATTGTTTACCCACGGAACACCAAGGAGTTCACAAGAACTCGTTCAGAAATGCCCGTGCATTCTAGGATCGAATTGGAATTTGGAAATGTTGGTTTTTGAGGAGAGGGGAAAACTGGATTACCCGGAGAAATACCTCTCTGAGCAGAGTAGAGAACCAACAACAAACTCAACCCACATATGACGCCGTGGACCCGTTTCTCGAAAGCCCCGGAAACTTTTCGGGCCCGTAAAGCCATTTTTAGATAATCTGTATTTAAAAACAGAGAGATGTATAGGCCTGAAACTTCTTGTATGAAGAGAACTTCTATCCATATTAAGAACATGCGAATAAAACAGCTCTGTAATCATAAGGTTTGAGATTTTGCCACGGCTTTCCGGATGCGAAAACGTTTCGGGACCATCGAGAAACGGGCCCCGGGTCCGGGAATCGAACCCGGGACACATTGGTGGAAGGCGAGCGCTCTCACCACTACGCCATCCCTGCTCCCCCCAGTTTGTTGTCGTTCTACAAGTTTGCGTCTGTGCTTGTTTGTTTGTCTTTTTTTCTGTATATGTTCCACACCTTGTATTTGTCCCACGGCATCTGTTCTTTTGCCGTTGTAGGTAACAGTGTTGCCGTAAAACAGGGGGCTATGCATCAATATCCCGCTCATTATATGCCACGACACTCGGTCTCCTACGCACATGCTCAAACCAGGCTGATTTCCATAAACAAACCCATCAATGTCATGCATCTTGTTGCTGTTGATGTAAGATGGATCGCCTGAAAAATAACAAAGACTAACTCTTAATCAAAGCAGCCACAGCAATAAAAATCTCTCCTCTTTGTTATCTGATCGCGATATGCGAGGGGCCCGGGTGACTCGAGCTTCACCCCTCCGAATTCTAAAAGAATATAAGGACCGAAAGACCGAACATTTATCAAATCCTACCGTCCAAGGAGCTACTAAATTGGAAACCCAAACTCTGAAAGTAGTGACCGTCAGTCAAAGCACTGGGTTTCACGCGAAAGAAAGTGCGAAAGGAGAAGAAAAGACTGTGCGGCCATTGTTCTTCTCTCTCGTTTTCTTTCACGTCATCTTTGACAGACAAAAGAAGGAATATTTGTAGTCTAGGGGTCGGGTGGAGAGGGGAACGCGTCGTCACTTTCACAATTTCAACGTAAAGTAAAGTAAAAAAGTAAATCTTATTTAAAGTGGTCATGCACTTAGCTTTACAAGCACCAAGCTTAGCTAGCTTACAGGTATGCCACTGAAACAAAGGAAACAAATATTTCAAATAAACGTAACATAGTTAAAACATGAGTCCCAACTGGCAGGAGGCGGACCAGTTGGCTATTTACAAAGCCTGACCGAGGATTTGAACTTGGGACTACCGAGAAACAAATCCTGTTAGTGGCAGAATGGACGTCTTTGAACCCGGGACCTCCGCATTACAACACCAGCGCCCTAAAGCCACTTAGCCACGCTGCCTCCCTCAAACGTACAAATAATTCTGCTTGATAAATGTGTTAAACTACATATACAGGAAGATAACAAACTAAGAGAATGTTCAGACAGGCAGTTACTACTTACTTTCATCAATAGTGGAAGGGTTGCCGGCCAGTTGTTTATTGTCTTGGTAGTACCAAGAATTCTTCTCCAAAGTAACCACAAAATGTAACACAAACTCTTTGTCCATATTCTTTTGCTTGTTCTTAGAATCCAGGCTCTTTTTCTTACAAACCAATAAGGGACCAAACAGGCCTAAAAGTAAAGAAGCTTGTGTTCAATCAGATACTATCTTCTAACTAGATAATGCACACTGTATAATGCACACTGTATAATGCACACTGTATAATGCACACTGTATAATGCACACTGTATAATGCACACTGTATAATGCACACTGTATAATTTTGACTGACCTTAAAGTTTACTATCCTCGTATTTATTATTTATATCTCATGACAAGCACATTCTATGCATATTCTTGTTATTTACTCTTCACACCTGCATATCTATCCTTGGTTGGGTTCACACTCGACAGGTACATTCTAGTCAAACATTGCGCGTCTGAAGGCCTGGGACCCATTTCCTCGGGCACAGTCCACCTGTATGTGAAGTGTTCCCCGGGTGGGATTGCGTCATCTTTTTTATCCTGTTCGGATGTACCGTCTTCGTACAATGCTCCCTCGTTTGATTTACTGTACAGAACACCAACAGGATGAATGCTGTAGTTTCTTGAAGCCTGTGAATGGCGAACACTGACACGTTAACTTAGGTTATCTGTTGGCATGGGCATAACTCTCAGCTGCTGGTGTAAAAGTGAAACCGTAAACGGTAAAATTTAACCGTTAACCGTCAAAGCTCTCCCCCGGCCCCAATTGAGACCCTCTTTTCATAGCTGCATGTTGTAATCTACGGGTTCACGTTTGTTGCGTGTTCCTTTTTGCTTAAAGAGACACATATAAACCCAGGCCTAATTCGATCTCACCTTGTTTTGAAAGACCACCTCTATGGTATCACCTACTTCTCCACGAATAACAGGTCCCAGGGAGCCTAAATGATGTTCATCTTCTGTACGATTCTTTCTAGTGTTAAACGTATCATCGGTGTACTCAATATACAGAGCCTTCTTGTACGTTCCTCCAAGTCTGTCTTCGCTTCGAATGAAGAACTTTGACGCATCACTGAAAATAGCAAAGTAAACTGTAAACACCCGGGAAAAGTCCTGCAGTTTTAAACGCGGGTCGCCCAAAAGAAATTGATATGTTAAAAAATAATCATTGTTACATTTACAATGCGAGGGCATATAGTATTACCCTGTTATATCAGATTTTATTTTATTTTATTGATTAAAAAGGAAGTTGAAAATTTGCGGCCTCAATGACAGTAGAGCTTGTGATTTCATTTACCATTATTTTTAACAACAAATACCCCGAAGAAGGAACTCGGATGATAAAAGTCAGTTTAGTTATGTTGGTTGTAATTATTAGTAATTATTACCTTCCTGGCTTTGACAAATCCTCTCCAGTCATTTTGTTTATTCCACTCGGCCCATAATTCCACATCTTCTCCTCGGCAGCAATAAAGTACTTTCGCGTTCTTCCACCGCTGACGACAGGCGGGTCAAAATCGCGGGCGCATTTAGCTACATTAAACAAAGCGTACATTCCTCCGTCATAATTACTGGTTACCATGCAGTTTAAAAGCCAAGTTCCCGGATTGACGGCCGTCATTGTTGCCGTCACAAATGTCGCGGGTAAAAGAGTAGCAATGCTCCTAAGGTGCTTGTCACTGCTAAATGTCTGGCCGTGAAAATACGCTACAATGAAAAAAATATAAAACAACAGGTGTAAAATAAAAATAAAAAAAAATTACTATTAGTTAGGTCTAAAAAAGATACTTTGGCCTTGAGCTTAGTTATTTACGAGGTGAATGGCTGAACGAATACATGAACGAAAACATAAACCGAAGAAACAGTGAGCCGGAGTGAAATATACGGGGGATGGTCGGAGTCGTTTGCAAGGGTTGATAAAAGCAATACCTGCATGGACATCAGTGTCTGTGCCAATACCATACAAATGCCAGCTGATTTTTTCTCCAAGGCACATATCCAGACCTTCCAAGTTACCAAACACTCGCCCATTGATGCTGTACATTTTGTTACTTTTCACAAATCCGCCATCTGTCTTCTTTGTCATAGCTCCATCAGGGTCAGCACAAAAGCGTGCGATGTTTTCATCAAGAAGCCAGCTCTTGTTCTCGTCCATTACAGCGAAGAGTAACACAAATTCCTTATCAACGTCTGTGCGAGTCCCCCTTTCGTCTAGTGTTCCTTTTTTGCAGGTTAATATCGCTCCTGTTAGAAAAGAAAGTACGCTAAGAAGTTGATGACACAACAGAGACAAACAAAAACAGAAAAAATTACAAATTACATTTGCCAACAAAACTTTATCTCTATCGCCTGAGGATTAACTTTGGTTGAATAAACTTCCATTTCGTGACACAATTTTCGGATAAGGACGATAAACCGTAGGCTCCGTCTCACAACTCTTCATAATTAATTCTGTGGGACGTAAAAGAACCTAGCTACACACTGATCGAAAAGAGTAGGGGATGTAGTTCCCGGTGTGGTGATCTATCTTTCATCTGACGGTTAAATGCTCGGAGATATTAGCTGCATAAGCTACTCTGAAATCCGAGGGTTGATAAAGTAATGTATGTGTGTATATATGTACAATTACTTACACCACTTTCGCCATTGTCTTCACGGCCTCTCTTTTTAACAGTTTTATTTAAATAAAGCCTTTACAAGGAAAAGGACAGGAAGGCGTCAGGAATATGGCTGTTCTGTACTCACCAATCAAGCCAGTGTTGATGTCATTGACGGGTTTCACGTGAGAGTGGTAAGCCCAAGTAAGACACTTCTCGTCATCTTTGGTTGGCGCATGATTTTCAGGAATTGTCCATTTGTAGACCCGGGTTACACCAGGAAGTACGTGATCGTCCCCTTTCTGGCCTCCCTCCGTATGATCATCATAGAGAGCACCCTCTGAGCCCTTGTCATAAAAGACCCCATGTGGGTGCATTGTAAACGAACGGTTAGCCATGTTTTTGAAGTGAACGTTTAGAGTATCGCCAACCTCGCCCTTTATTATAGGACCCAGCAATCCTAAGTACTTCGGATGAGGTTTCTCTTCTGTAAAGGTGCCATCTGTGAACTCACGATAGAGCACCTTGCGATAGATGCTTCCTACTCTGTGGGGACCTGACACCGTAAACTGAGAGCCATCACTGGAAAGAGAATTTATGACAACAGTTACTTTGAAAGAGGTTAAATGTCTGCGGGCTAAGTAATGCACACTCTTAAATCTTGGACAAAAGTTTAATAATTAATCAGGCTCGGATATAATGAGAGATTTTTAGCCGTTTCTGGATTTAATTTCCCTGCTTTATTCTTAAAAGTTTCGTGTTGATAAATCGCCTGCCTGTGTGTCAGTATTCTTAGCAATTCGTGCAGGTATAAGCTAGGTATCAGGCTTCCACTGAGCATGTCCCGAGACCGGACAAATGTTAAAAAATTAAACAAAAGTCATATCTCCTCCGACACAAAGCCTAGGTAACAATTGAACAAGATAAAGACAACAATTGTTTAAAAAATATGTAATATGAAGAAGTACATGTAAATATGTGAATCGGAGACGTGTGTGTAGAGATCACTCCCGTAACCCTGCCAGGGGCTCTCCTCGTAGAGAGAAACAGGGTTTGCTAAGAGCTCCTATCCAAGTGAAGTGGGCCAACCTGCACCGTTTTCATGATTGGCCAAACGAAACAATAGGTATACAACACAAACAAAGCCCTTAGCCCTAAAAACAAAAGAGGTGCAGATAGGCAAGAACGAATCAAAATAGAAGTTTTTAAAGAGGTGCAGGTCATCTGAGTGAAGTTCATGAAGTTATAAATTGTCTTGTAATTAATTCGGAAAGGGTAAATAAAATGATTTATTGACAGAAGTTTGATTAAATGACAGCTATTGATTGATGGTCACCTTGGCCGCCATCTTTAGGCATTTAGGTAAACTGGGCAATTATGATACCTTTTTGTTTATTTTGGGGNTTTAGATAATCTGTATTTAAAAACAGAGAGATGTATAGGCCTGAAACTTCTTGTATGAAGAGAACTTCTATCCATATTAAGAACATGCGAATAAAACAGCTCTGTAATCATAAGGTTTGAGATTTTGCCACGGCTTTCCGGATGCGAAAACGTTTCGGGACCATCGAGAAACGGGCCCCGGGTCCGGGAATCGAACCCGGGACACATTGGTGGAAGGCGAGCGCTCTCACCACTACGCCATCCCTGCTCCCCCCAGTTTGTTGTCGTTCTACAAGTTTGCGTCTGTGCTTGTTTGTTTGTCTTTTTTTTCTGTATATGTTCCACACCTTGTATTTGTCCCACGGCATCTGTTCTTTTGCCGTTGTAGGTAACAGTGTTGCCGTAAAACAGGGGGCTATGCATCAATATCCCGCTCATTATATGCCACGACACTCGGTCTCCTACGCACATGCTCAAACCAGGCTGATTTCCATAAACAAACCCATCAATGTCATGCATCTTGTTGCTGTTGATGTAAGATGGATCGCCTGAAAAATAACAAAGACTAACTCTTAATCAAAGCAGCCACAGCAATAAAAATCTCTCCTCTTTGTTATCTGATCGCGATATGCGAGGGGCCCGGGTGACTCGAGCTTCACCCCTCCGAATTCTAAAAGAATATAAGGACCGAAAGACCGAACATTTATCAAATCCTACCGTCCAAGGAGCTACTAAATTGGAAACCCAAACTCTGAAAGTAGTGACCGTCAGTCAAAGCACTGGGTTTCACGCGAAAGAAAGTGCGAAAGGAGAAGAAAAGACTGTGCGGCCATTGTTCTTCTCTCTCGTTTTCTTTCACGTCATCTTTGACAGACAAAAGAAGGAATATTTGTAGTCTAGGGGTCGGGTGGAGAGGGGAACGCGTCGTCACTTTCACAATTTCAACGTAAAGTAAAGTAAAAAAGTAAATCTTATTTAAAGTGGTCATGCACTTAGCTTTACAAGCACCAAGCTTAGCTAGCTTACAGGTATGCCACTGAAACAAAGGAAACAAATATTTCAAATAAACGTAACATAGTTAAAACATGAGTCCCAACTGGCAGGAGGCGGACCAGTTGGCTATTTACAAAGCCTGACCGAGGATTTGAACTTGGGACTACCGAGAAACAAATCCTGTTAGTGGCAGAATGGACGTCTTTGAACCCGGGACCTCCGCATTACAACACCAGCGCCCTAAAGCCACTTAGCCACGCTGCCTCCCTCAAACGTACAAATAATTCTGCTTGATAAATGTGTTAAACTACATATACAGGAAGATAACAAACTAAGAGAATGTTCAGACAGGCAGTTACTACTTACTTTCATCAATAGTGGAAGGGTTGCCGGCCAGTTGTTTATTGTCTTGGTAGTACCAAGAATTCTTCTCCAAAGTAACCACAAAATGTAACACAAACTCTTTGTCCATATTCTTTTGCTTGTTCTTAGAATCCAGGCTCTTTTTCTTACAAACCAATAAGGGACCAAACAGGCCTAAAAGTAAAGAAGCTTGTGTTAAATCAGATACTATCTTCTAACTAGATAATGCACACTGTATAATGCACACTGTATAATGCACACTGTATAATGCACACTGTATAATGCACACTGTATAATTTTGACTGACCTTAAAGTTTACTATCCTCGTATTTATTATTTATATCTCATGACAAGCACATTCTATGCATATTCTTGTTATTTACTCTTCACACCTGCATATCTATCCTTGGTTGGGTTCACACTCGACAGGTACATTCTAGTCAAACATTGCGCGTCTGAAGGCCTGGGACCCATTTCCTCGGGCACAGTCCACCTGTATGTGAAGTGTTCCCCGGGTGGGATTGCGTCATCTTTTTTATCCTGTTCGGATGTACCGTCTTCGTACAATGCTCCCTCGTTTGATTTACTGTACAGAACACCAACAGGATGAATGCTGTAGTTTCTTGAAGCCTGTGAATGGCGAACACTGACACGTTAACTTAGGTTATCTGTTGGCATGGGCATAACTCTCAGCTGCTGGTGTAAAAGTGAAACCGTAAACGGTAAAATTTAACCGTTAACCGTCAAAGCTCTCCCCCGGCCCCAATTGAGACCCTCTTTTCATAGCTGCATGTTGTAATCTACGGGTTCACGTTTGTTGCGTGTTCCTTTTTGCTTAAAGAGACACATATAAACCCAGGCCTAATTCGATCTCACCTTGTTTTGAAAGACCACCTCTATGGTATCACCTACTTCTCCACGAATAACAGGTCCCAGGGAGCCTAAATGATGTTCATCTTCTGTACGATTCTTTCTAGTGTTAAACGTATCATCGGTGTACTCAATATACAGAGCCTTCTTGTACGTTCCTCCAAGTCTGTCTTCGCTTCGAATGAAGAACTTTGACGCATCACTGAAAATAGCAAAGTAAACTGTAAACACCCGGGAAAAGTCCTGCAGTTTTAAACGCGGGTCGCCCAAAAGAAATTGATATGTTAAAAAATAATCATTGTTACATTTACAATGCGAGGGCATATAGTATTACCCTGTTATATCAGATTTTATTTTATTTTATTGATTAAAAAGGAAGTTGAAAATTTGCGGCCTCAATGACAGTAGAGCTTGTGATTTCATTTACCATTATTTTTAACAACAAATACCCCGAAGAAGGAACTCGGATGATAAAAGTCAGTTTAGTTATGTTGGTTGTAATTATTAGTAATTATTACCTTCCTGGCTTTGACAAATCCTCTCCAGTCATTTTGTTTATTCCACTCGGCCCATAATTCCACATCTTCTCCTCGGCAGCAATAAAGTACTTTCGCGTTCTTCCACCGCTGACGACAGGCGGGTCAAAATCGCGGGCGCATTTAGCTACATTAAACAAAGCGTACATTCCTCCGTCATAATTACTGGTTACCATGCAGTTTAAAAGCCAAGTTCCCGGATTGACGGCCGTCATTGTTGCCGTCACAAATGTCGCAGGTAAAAGAGTAGCAATGCTCCTAAGGTGCTTGTCAATGCTAAATGTCTGGCCGTGAAAATACGCTACAATGAAAAAAATATAAAACAACAAGTGTAAAATAAAAATAAAAAAAAATTACTATTAGTTAGGTCTAAAAAAGATACTTTGGCCTTGAGCTTAGTTATTTACGAGGTGAATGGCTGAACGAATACATGAACGAAAACATAAACCGAAGAAACAGTGAGCCGGAGTGAAATATACGGGGGATGGTCGGAGTCGTTTGCAAGGGTTGATAAAAGCAATACCTGCATGGACATCAGTGTCTGTGCCAATACCATACAAATGCCAGCTGATTTTTTCTCCAAGGCACATATCCAGACCTTCCAAGTTACCAAACACTCGCCCATTGATGCTGTACATTTTGTTACTTTTCACAAATCCGCCATCTGTCTTCTTTGTCATAGCTCCATCAGGGTCAGCACAAAAGCGTGCGATGTTTTCATCAAGAAGCCAGCTCTTGTTCTCGTCCATTACAGCGAAGAGTAACACAAATTCCTTATCAACGTCTGTGCGAGTCCCCCTTTCGTCTAGTGTTCCTTTTTTGCAGGTTAATATCGCTCCTGTTAGAAAAGAAAGTACGCTAAGAAGTTGATGACACAACAGAGACAAACAAAAACAGAAAAAATTACAAATTACATTTGCCAACAAAACTTTATCTCTATCGCCTGAGGATTAACTTTGGTTGAATAAACTTCCATTTCGTGACACAATTTTCGGATAAGGACGATAAACCGTAGGCTCCGTCTCACAACTCTTCATAATTAATTCTGTGGGACGTAAAAGAACCTAGCTACACACTGATCGAAAAGAGTAGGGGATGTAGTTCCCGGTGTGGTGATCTATCTTTCATCTGACGGTTAAATGCTCGGAGATATTAGCTGCATAAGCTACTCTGAAATCCGAGGGTTGATAAAGTAATGTATGTGTGTATATATGTACAATTACTTACACCACTTTCGCCATTGTCTTCACGGCCTCTCTTTTTAACAGTTTTATTTAAATAAAGCCTTTACAAGGAAAAGGACAGGAAGGCGTCAGGAATATGGCTGTTCTGTACTCACCAATCAAGCCAGTGTTGATGTCATTGACGGGTTTCACGTGAGAGTGGTAAGCCCAAGTAAGACACTTCTCGTCATCTTTGGTTGGCGCATGATTTTCAGGAATTGTCCATTTGTAGACCCGGGTTACACCAGGAAGTACGTGATCGTCCCCTTTCTGGCCTCCCTCCGTATGATCATCATAGAGAGCACCCTCTGAGCCCTTGTCATAAAAGACCCCATGTGGGTGCATTGTAAACGAACGGTTAGCCATGTTTTTGAAGTGAACGTTTAGAGTATCGCCAACCTCGCCCTTTATTATAGGACCCAGCAATCCTAAGTACTTCGGATGAGGTTTCTCTTCTGTAAAGGTGCCATCTGTGAACTCACGATAGAGCACCTTGCGATAGATGCTTCCTACTCTGTGGGGACCTGACACCGTAAACTGAGAGCCATCACTGGAAAGAGAATTTATGACAACAGTTACTTTGAAAGAGGTTAAATGTCTGCGGGCTAAGTAATGCACACTCTTAAATCTTGGACAAAAGTTTAATAATTAATCAGGCTCGGATATAATGAGAGATTTTTAGCCGTTTCTGGATTTAATTTCCCTGCTTTATTCTTAAAAGTTTCGTGTTGATAAATCGCCTGCCTGTGTGTCAGTATTCTTAGCAATTCGTGCAGGTATAAGCTAGGTATCAGGCTTCCACTGAGCATGTCCCGAGACCGGACAAATGTTAAAAAATTAAACAAAAGTCATATCTCCTCCGACACAAAGCCTAGGTAACAATTGAACAAGATAAAGACAACAATTGTTTAAAAAATATGTAATATGAAGAAGTACATGTAAATATGTGAATCGGAGACGTGTGTGTAGAGATCACTCCCGTAACCCTGCCAGGGGCTCTCCTCGTAGAGAGAAACAGGGTTTGCTAAGAGCTCCTATCCAAGTGAAGTGGGCCAACCTGCACCGTTTTCATGATTGGCCAAACGAAACAATAGGTATACAACACAAACAAAGCCCTTAGCCCTAAAAACAAAAGAGGTGCAGATAGGCAAGAACGAATCAAAATAGAAGTTTTTAAAGAGGTGCAGGTCATCTGAGTGAAGTTCATGAAGTTATAAATTGTCTTGTAATTAATTCGGAAAGGGTAAATAAAATGATTTATTGACAGAAGTTTGATTAAATGACAGCTATTGATTGATGGTCACCTTGGCCGCCATCTTTAGGCATTTAGGTAAACTGGGCAATTATGATACCTTTTTGTTTATTTTGGGGATTTATTCATTTTTTCGTTAGATTTCAAGTCTTTAAGGAAATCAGTGCCGAAGGTGCAGAGGCTGTTTGGTAAGTCAAGCGTAATTTACAAAGCGATGAATTCAACAGAGAACTCATTGTTCCTTTCTTTGCATGGTCGGCATGCAACCCCGGGCATACCACATTGTCACTGCCTTGTGAACCAGAAAGACGCTGTGCTCAGCCGGATTAATTAACAATACTTAAATTGGTTTGTTAGAGTAGTTCGAACTCAGTGTGTTTTCCGAACCTGCGAATGCAGTCTTTGCTCGTCACTTGCGGCCGGGAGTCATCAATTCACATCATCCGTGTTTATGATCTCTCGGTCCCTCAATCAAACAACGAGGATTAGACAAATTCTAAACGCTGACCGGCTTTCGTCTTCTTTGGTTCTTTTAAAATTCATTGTGAAATATTCCTCTAAAATCTCTAGCGCCCAATAAAATTTTCGCAAAATTAGGTCCCTGGAAATTTAGGCTAGGTACATCCTTTTTTTTATCAGATCGATATTTGTGAAGGTGAATTAATCAACATGACACGAGCGTGGGACAAAGAAAAATTCTGAGTCCCCGACAGGAATTGAACCCATGACCTCCCGAACACCGGGNTTCACGTCATCTTTGACAGACAAAAGAAGGAATATTTGTAGTCTAGGGGTCGGGTGGAGAGGGGAACGCGTCGTCACTTTCACAATTTCAACGTAAAGTAAAGTAAAAAAGTAAATCTTATTTAAAGTGGTCATGCACTTAGCTTTACAAGCACCAAGCTTAGCTAGCTTACAGGTATGCCACTGAAACAAAGGAAACAAATATTTCAAATAAACGTAACATAGTTAAAACATGAGTCCCAACTGGCAGGAGGCGGACCAGTTGGCTATTTACAAAGCCTGACCGAGGATTTGAACTTGGGACTACCGAGAAACAAATCCTGTTAGTGGCAGAATGGACGTCTTTGAACCCGGGACCTCCGCATTACAACACCAGCGCCCTAAAGCCACTTAGCCACGCTGCCTCCCTCAAACGTACAAATAATTCTGCTTGATAAATGTGTTAAACTACATATACAGGAAGATAACAAACTAAGAGAATGTTCAGACAGGCAGTTACTACTTACTTTCATCAATAGTGGAAGGGTTGCCGGCCAGTTGTTTATTGTCTTGGTAGTACCAAGAATTCTTCTCCAAAGTAACCACAAAATGTAACACAAACTCTTTGTCCATATTCTTTTGCTTGTTCTTAGAATCCAGGCTCTTTTTCTTACAAACCAATAAGGGACCAAACAGGCCTAAAAGTAAAGAAGCTTGTGTTAAATCAGATACTATCTTCTAACTAGATAATGCACACTGTATAATGCACACTGTATAATGCACACTGTATAATGCACACTGTATAATGCACACTGTATAATGCACACTGTATAATGCACACTGTATAATTTTGACTGACCTTAAAGTTTACTATCCTCGTATTTATTATTTATATCTCATGACAAGCACATTCTATGCATATTCTTGTTATTTACTCTTCACACCTGCATATCTATCCTTGGTTGGGTTCACACTCGACAGGTACATTCTAGTCAAACATTGCGCGTCTGAAGGCCTGGGACCCATTTCCTCGGGCACAGTCCACCTGTATGTGAAGTGTTCCCCGGGTGGGATTGCGTCATCTTTTTTATCCTGTTCGGATGTACCGTCTTCGTACAATGCTCCCTCGTTTGATTTACTGTACAGAACACCAACAGGATGAATGCTGTAGTTTCTTGAAGCCTGTGAATGGCGAACACTGACACGTTAACTTAGGTTATCTGTTGGCATGGGCATAACTCTCAGCTGCTGGTGTAAAAGTGAAACCGTAAACGGTAAAATTTAACCGTTAACCGTCAAAGCTCTCCCCCGGCCCCAATTGAGACCCTCTTTTCATAGCTGCATGTTGTAATCTACGGGTTCACGTTTGTTGCGTGTTCCTTTTTGCTTAAAGAGACACATATAAACCCAGGCCTAATTCGATCTCACCTTGTTTTGAAAGACCACCTCTATGGTATCACCTACTTCTCCACGAATAACAGGTCCCAGGGAGCCTAAATGATGTTCATCTTCTGTACGATTCTTTCTAGTGTTAAACGTATCATCGGTGTACTCAATATACAGAGCCTTCTTGTACGTTCCTCCAAGTCTGTCTTCGCTTCGAATGAAGAACTTTGACGCATCACTGAAAATAGCAAAGTAAACTGTAAACACCCGGGAAAAGTCCTGCAGTTTTAAACGCGGGTCGCCCAAAAGAAATTGATATGTTAAAAAATAATCATTGTTACATTTACAATGCGAGGGCATATAGTATTACCCTGTTATATCAGATTTTATTTTATTTTATTGATTAAAAAGGAAGTTGAAAATTTGCGGCCTCAATGACAGTAGAGCTTGTGATTTCATTTACCATTATTTTTAACAACAAATACCCCGAAGAAGGAACTCGGATGATAAAAGTCAGTTTAGTTATGTTGGTTGTAATTATTAGTAATTATTACCTTCCTGGCTTTGACAAATCCTCTCCAGTCATTTTGTTTATTCCACTCGGCCCATAATTCCACATCTTCTCCTCGGCAGCAATAAAGTACTTTCGCGTTCTTCCACCGCTGACGACAGGCGGGTCAAAATCGCGGGCGCATTTAGCTACATTAAACAAAGCGTACATTCCTCCGTCATAATTACTGGTTACCATGCAGTTTAAAAGCCAAGTTCCCGGATTGACGGCCGTCATTGTTGCCGTCACAAATGTCGCGGGTAAAAGAGTAGCAATGCTCCTAAGGTGCTTGTCACTGCTAAATGTCTGGCCGTGAAAATACGCTACAATGAAAAAAATATAAAACAACAGGTGTAAAATAAAAATAAAAAAAAATTACTATTAGTTAGGTCTAAAAAAGATACTTTGGCCTTGAGCTTAGTTATTTACGAGGTGAATGGCTGAACGAATACATGAACGAAAACATAAACCGAAGAAACAGTGAGCCGGAGTGAAATATACGGGGGATGGTCGGAGTCGTTTGCAAGGGTTGATAAAAGCAATACCTGCATGGACATCAGTGTCTGTGCCAATACCATACAAATGCCAGCTGATTTTTTCTCCAAGGCACATATCCAGACCTTCCAAGTTACCAAACACTCGCCCATTGATGCTGTACATTTTGTTACTTTTCACAAATCCGCCATCTGTCTTCTTTGTCATAGCTCCATCAGGGTCAGCACAAAAGCGTGCGATGTTTTCATCAAGAAGCCAGCTCTTGTTCTCGTCCATTACAGCGAAGAGTAACACAAATTCCTTATCAACGTCTGTGCGAGTCCCCCTTTCGTCTAGTGTTCCTTTTTTGCAGGTTAATATCGCTCCTGTTAGAAAAGAAAGTACGCTAAGAAGTTGATGACACAACAGAGACAAACAAAAACAGAAAAAATTACAAATTACATTTGCCAACAAAACTTTATCTCTATCGCCTGAGGATTAACTTTGGTTGAATAAACTTCCATTTCGTGACACAATTTTCGGATAAGGACGATAAACCGTAGGCTCCGTCTCACAACTCTTCATAATTAATTCTGTGGGACGTAAAAGAACCTAGCTACACACTGATCGAAAAGAGTAGGGGATGTAGTTCCCGGTGTGGTGATCTATCTTTCATCTGACGGTTAAATGCTCGGAGATATTAGCTGCATAAGCTACTCTGAAATCCGAGGGTTGATAAAGTAATGTATGTGTGTATATATGTACAATTACTTACACCACTTTCGCCATTGTCTTCACGGCCTCTCTTTTTAACAGTTTTATTTAAATAAAGCCTTTACAAGGAAAAGGACAGGAAGGCGTCAGGAATATGGCTGTTCTGTACTCACCAATCAAGCCAGTGTTGATGTCATTGACGGGTTTCACGTGAGAGTGGTAAGCCCAAGTAAGACACTTCTCGTCATCTTTGGTTGGCGCATGATTTTCAGGAATTGTCCATTTGTAGACCCGGGTTACACCAGGAAGTACGTGATCGTCCCCTTTCTGGCCTCCCTCCGTATGATCATCATAGAGAGCACCCTCTGAGCCCTTGTCATAAAAGACCCCATGTGGGTGCATTGTAAACGAACGGTTAGCCATGTTTTTGAAGTGAACGTTTAGAGTATCGCCAACCTCGCCCTTTATTATAGGACCCAGCAATCCTAAGTACTTCGGATGAGGTTTCTCTTCTGTAAAGGTGCCATCTGTGAACTCACGATAGAGCACCTTGCGATAGATGCTTCCTACTCTGTGGGGACCTGACACCGTAAACTGAGAGCCATCACTGGAAAGAGAATTTATGACAACAGTTACTTTGAAAGAGGTTAAATGTCTGCGGGCTAAGTAATGCACACTCTTAAATCTTGGACAAAAGTTTAATAATTAATCAGGCTCGGATATAATGAGAGATTTTTAGCCGTTTCTGGATTTAATTTCCCTGCTTTATTCTTAAAAGTTTCGTGTTGATAAATCGCCTGCCTGTGTGTCAGTATTCTTAGCAATTCGTGCAGGTATAAGCTAGGTATCAGGCTTCCACTGAGCATGTCCCGAGACCGGACAAATGTTAAAAAATTAAACAAAAGTCATATCTCCTCCGACACAAAGCCTAGGTAACAATTGAACAAGATAAAGACAACAATTGTTTAAAAAATATGTAATATGAAGAAGTACATGTAAATATGTGAATCGGAGACGTGTGTGTAGAGATCACTCCCGTAACCCTGCCAGGGGCTCTCCTCGTAGAGAGAAACAGGGTTTGCTAAGAGCTCCTATCCAAGTGAAGTGGGCCAACCTGCACCGTTTTCATGATTGGCCAAACGAAACAATAGGTATACAACACAAACAAAGCCCTTAGCCCTAAAAACAAAAGAGGTGCAGATAGGCAAGAACGAATCAAAATAGAAGTTTTTAAAGAGGTGCAGGTCATCTGAGTGAAGTTCATGAAGTTATAAATTGTCTTGTAATTAATTCGGAAAGGGTAAATAAAATGATTTATTGACAGAAGTTTGATTAAATGACAGCTATTGATTGATGGTCACCTTGGCCGCCATCTTTAGGCATTTAGGTAAACTGGGCAATTATGATACCTTTTTGTTTATTTTGGGGATTTATTCATTTTTTCGTTAGATTTCAAGTCTTTAAGGAAATCAGTGCCGAAGGTGCAGAGGCTGTTTGGTAAGTCAAGCGTAATTTACAAAGCGATGAATTCAACAGAGAACTCATTGTTCCTTTCTTTGCATGGTCGGCATGCAACCCCGGGCATACCACATTGTCACTGCCTTGTGAACCAGAAAGACGCTGTGCTCAGCCGGATTAATTAACAATACTTAAATTGGTTTGTTAGAGTAGTTCGAACTCAGTGTGTTTTCCGAACCTGCGAATGCAGTCTTTGCTCGTCACTTGCGGCCGGGAGTCATCAATTCACATCATCCGTGTTTATGATCTCTCGGTCCCTCAATCAAACAACGAGGATTAGACAAATTCTAAACGCTGACCGGCTTTCGTCTTCTTTGGTTCTTTTAAAATTCATTGTGAAATATTCCTCTAAAATCTCTAGCGCCCAATAAAATTTTCGCAAAATTAGGTCCCTGGAAATTTAGGCTAGGTACATCCTTTTTTTTATCAGATCGATATTTGTGAAGGTGAATTAATCAACATGACACGAGCGTGGGACAAAGAAAAATTCTGAGTCCCCGACAGGAATTGAACCCATGACCTCCCGAACACCGGGCGGGCGCTCCATCCACTGACCTACAAGAACAGGTCATTTAACTGAGTTTCTTATATGACAGGTGTCCTGTTGTTGTTGTTGTTTTCGGCCTAAGCTGAATATTCTTATTTTTCTGCCGATTTTAGGCTGGAAATATTCTCGTGACTAATCTTACACTGGATTATAGCGTTGGGTATCAATTACAAGTGTTTGGTTTGAAGTGTATCTTGCCGTTCAGAGAAAAGATTGGATTTTTATAAGCATGTATTGAATTTACAAACTTTGTATTGTATTAATTTGTACGGTATAGTTTAGAAATTTTCAACGCACAAAATTGTATTCGTTTCAAAATGTCAGCCTTGGGTTTATTTTTGAAATACTTTTAAAGTTTCGCAAATTTCGGCTTGGATATTCTTATAAAATATATTCTCACAAAAAAGAGTGTAGCGAACTTTCAAGTTTTGTACAATTTTATGCAATATTTTCCGAAAACTTAGTAGTAGTGAGATGAGCCCTGCAAGGGGATCACTGTGGATCAAGCTCGAGACGGGATTAAAGGCCTGCTAAAACGAGATCTGTTGGACCAAAATACCAGTTAGCACTAAAACAACATTCTTGTTAAGTTCAAAGTGTTCATGATGGCGAGACAACTGGCCCTAACCAGCTCTCGATGGTACCTCTCATGCCTAGCTGTAGCTCTCTACCGCGATCTTTGCATTATTTGATCGATGTTATCAGTAGGAACCGACCTGAACAGAATAAAGCCTACACTACTCGACTACAGTGATAGAGCAACAGTGATAGAGTCACAAGTTCCTTGGGAGCTGAAAGCATTTTAATATACCGCACTAGGTATGCATGCACTTCTGAGGGAAATAACTAAAATAACGACTTTGCCAACGACTGAGAAAGGAAAGATCGCTATTTGGACGCGGCAAAACACTTTTCTTATTGCGAATTCAAATGCTGTTGCCGTACTAAATATAATCTGATAGAATCATAATTAGTACATATGAACACTCGCCTGTCACTGTCCAGTGGCATTCCTTTCACGTTGTTTGTTCCTGTTGGTGCATAGTTCCAATCCTTTTCTACAGCTCCGATGTAATAATCCCGACTCGCTGATAAAGAGCTCTTGTGAAAGAGAGCTACAACAAACATTCGACAAGATATTATGTGTATAAACGAATGCATTGTCTTGCCCGTTCAAGTAGCGGATACTTTTCACTCCAACTGAAGATAGACAACAGAATAATTTATGCACAAAATG